TGGTAAGCTAAGAAGCCGCACTGCTTGATGTATTGTCGGAGTATATCGGTTACTGTAGTCAGAAGCGTCGTCGAGTAATACGTACTGCGCGTCAACATAATATTACCGTATTGTGTGTGCATAATGGACCCTAAACTGGGGCTTGTTGAGAGAAATGTGTACGAAGTAGATTTCAAAACTCAAAGCTATCAGTCACGCAGCAACATGGGAACAGAGCAGCTGCAAAATCTGTCTTTGTTATTATGCTCTTTGACTTTTTAGTTTACATTTTGACTGCACACTCGCGATCTTTTTGTTATGCACAAAAGAACATTGTTTTATTTTATTCATGGAGTATTATTTAATAAATCTTGATAATTTATTTAGGAGTATTTTTTTAATGTACTTCTACATTGTATGTTAATAAAAGTGCCTATGTGACATCTGGGACACAGCTTTATATCATGTGTCAGCATCCAGCTAAAGAATATCAAGATATGAATTTTAGGCCATATCGCCCAGCCCTACGTACGCATAATGTTACAGTTTGTTTTGATATCAGCTAATAATAAATATAATTTGTAAGGATCTGAGTGTTATAAAAATAATGACCCTAGGTAGTTTATATCAAAATTTCAATTCAGATAAATTCACACATCTGGGAGGAGTTAGGAACAGATATACATGCGTTACAATCGTTATAGTTTATTTTTCCTTTATAAATCTGCCCCTCAGCTGCTTGGTCACACTGATTGGTGTACTGGCAACTAATAGTTTAACCACTTGGTGCGCTCTCAGTGCTGCTGTTTAGTTCTAAGTTGATGGCTGATGGTTGAAGCTTACTGTCCTAAACCCTGAGGAAGGAGACGTGGAAATCATTGACGTTTGCTCCAGATCAAAGTGATTAATGTGACTGATTGAACAGACATTCTTGGTGTGTGTTTGGTGTTTACAGCAGTGTGAAAGAGACTTAACAGCAGGTTGGAATCACGGAGAATAATACATATACCTTTTCTAAATCACCAAATTAGGGTTTGAGAGAAAGTTAAAATATAAAAGCATAGCTGTTAGATATGAGGTCATCAAGTACACTCTAGGTGTCCTGTTTTAGAATCATACATTAATTCATTTAGAATAACAAGACTAATGCAAACTGTTGTTAAAAGCCAGGGATCAGGGAAACATAAAGACTATTAAAAAACACTAGTGATGGGTAGATGAGGCCTCGTGAAGCGTTTCAGCACATTCCCCAAACTGTATCGACACTGTGTCGACACAGTTTTGTTCCATAGTGACACCTGCTGGACCTTAAATATCATTACAGGCAACTACAGGCAACCAGGGATCAGGGAAACATAAAGACTATTAAAAAACACCCTCCTACTAACCCTGTCGAGGCCAAGGAATCTTCTGGGAATGGTGACACCATTTTCTGAAGAACTGATTGTTCAATAGGTAGTGATCTCATACCTGTTCATCTCTTATCTGGATCTTAACCCTCTGGGATTCAGGGTATAATTGGCCGTTTTTGACTACTTTTGAGTTTACCTCTATATTTCACCTTTAAAAACTGTTAATCTTGCCTTGTTTGGTATCGGGGGGTTTTCAGCACAACCTCAAATATCTGAAATTTGAGTTATTTTTTCATTTTGGTATACTATATTAGCACAATTGATCTGAATTCAAACAAAAAATTCACAATCCGAGTAGAAAAAAAAGTTATATTTCTTACTGTAAAACCCACAAACATGTTTAATGAATCATTTTCATAACTTGGAATAGAAATTGTACATTTCTAAATATTATGCACAAGTTTTGCAAACAAAGTTATATGGTACCATTTACCTAAAAATGCAGCCGAGGCCTCAGACATTTTTTATATAACCATTTAAATCTATTTCCAGAACAATCAGGTGTGCTGCATCAAATAAGAAGGCACACAAATTATTTGTGCCAGTCCAAAAAAATTTAGTTTGTGTTCAGAATAAGACAGAGGAGAACACCACAGGCCTAAACCCTGCAGCTCTGACAGCAAGAGGTGTATCAGTCCAGTTTTCCATGTGGGAACAGCGTTTACACTGGAATCTGCCTTTGACAGCTTTTTTCAGCAGTCTGATACACAATACAAGACAATAATTACAAACTAACTACAGCGTCCAAACACGC